AACGCCATATTTGCTTGCATGTGTTAAAATAAGCGGGGGGTCCAACGCAAAATCTTTAATAAACAGAATTTGGATGTTGCGTTAGCAAACGTGCTCTTATCCAGGCATGCTCATAATCCGTGGAGAAATGCAATTATAGAAGTATTTAAGTAAATATGACACAATATTAAACATACGGCACACAATTACACTGATCAGGCTTGTTATGTAAAGTTGCGCACGAATTCCACATTTTCACACTGAAAAAATATAGAGGGATCTTCATAATTCAATTGCTTAACCAATATTTTGCAATTTGTTTATAATCATAGATATTAATGTTTAAAATGAGGTGACGTCATCATTGACGTTTTCCACTTCATGCATTCTTTCGTTCACAACCTCATGCATCTATTAAGGTGGATTTCCACTTACAGCTAAACAGTTTGCTAGCGAAATATTTGCAAATTTTCTTTTAAATTGAGAAGAGTCAAGCCGCACTATTTTTTTACGCTATTAAATTCAAAAGAAAATATTATGCAAGTATTTCGCTAGCGTACGATTTCGCTGTAAGTGGAAATCCGCCTTTAAACAATGATTGCAGCAACTGAGTTAGGAATACACTGCCGTTGAGTTTAAATTGCTTTCTTTTTGAACGTTTAACTTACTGTTTCAATAAAATTTTCACCGTAATTTAGTTATTAACTATGAGCACTGCGCAGGATGAAGATCAGATTATTGAGGTTACGATCCTTGTGCAATATTTCATTGTTCAGATGATAAAGACAATTATGTCGTTTCAGCAAAGATCTTATTTTTAACACACTTCCTACGTATTTATATTCTGCCAGCATTAAGCAAAACAATAACTTTGATAGTCAGTATACAAGGGCAGGGAACTGAATGAACAAAATAGTGGGTTTAAGAATAACAATGATGTCCATTTCGTGGATATTCGCTGTGATTTTATGCTTTGTGGCCTTGAGAGTGCATGGCCATGGGGTAAGGACTACCAACAACGGTTGAATCGCAACAAATTTTTGTCTTGCAAATACTAAATACTTTCATTTCATATTCAAACCCGGATGATTTTATAAGCGCGGACGCTTTGCGTTCGGTAAGTTAATATAGTTACACACTATAGCTATACCATAACCAACACAACATGCAGTAACCAGTTCACGAGTGTATATGTATATATGTGTATATCTGTAAATTGTGTTTTCCCATTTATCACATTTACTAATAATTTATAACATTCTTGAAATTTTCCATTTGATATTTTTAGCTTTTCATTAAAAGATATACGTGTCTCACAGATTATTCTCCGCCAATCAATAAGCTCCATTTTACCGGAAGTGACACTTGCCATATTATAAAACAATGTAGCGGAATAATTAATGTAGCGGAATAATTAATAAAGCACAAAAGAGCGGAATAATTAAATGCTGGAGAGGAAGTTGCAAAACCTTTATATGTTATTGCGAAAAAGCTAATAATCGAATAACAAGGGATGATATGTCATATTTTTCGACGTCGATGTCGTCGAAAGCGGAAACAAAATAAAAATTTTCCTCTTTCCACAAATCTTCGAACCTGTTGCTTGAAACGCCATATTTGCTAGCACGTGCTAAAATAAGCGGGGGCACCAACGCATCAGACATAAATCAGGGGTTATAATTATACGCCCTGATGCAGTTCTAATTCTTCTTACATGGCTTAAGTATCTCATTCTTGTCTCAAACACTTGCGATTCCTGTGCGAATACTTGACCGAATTTAATAAAAATTGAACCATTTTTATGAGGAAATTACCCCCAGGAGATTTTTTTTAGATCGATATGTTGCCAATTCGCTATGATATTCACTTCAAAATGAATGCAAATTATTTGGTATTAAATATTACACATCAAAGCAGCCTGATCTATAAAATAATGCGAAAACAGTGGCGGATCTAGGGGTGTGCAGAATAAATTACACAGCTTCATTTTAAATTCAAAACACCTTAACAACAACGCTATTGGTTATAGATTTTAAAAGAATATTTTTACATTAAAATCGACCAATGCGATTCAAATTTTAAGCCGTATTAATTTATTCTGCACACCCCTAGATCCGCCACTGTGCGAAAAATGCGAGCGAAAACGGGTTAGAGTGATTTAGTTCACATTTTCAGGATTATTTTTATATCTTTAGCGTCAAAATCGAACCTTTAGAAGATTTTTGCCGATTTTTTATATAAACATGCATGATGATATGAATTATCTCATCACCGACAATAATATTTCACAATAATAGAAACATCAAAAACGTTCGGGCAAGAGAAGCTGAAAAACTGATCCCTTCGTCCAATTTTACGTCAGGGATCGATTTTCTGGCGTCAGGAATCGATTTTCGAATGTTACGGTATTTCAAGAGATATTTTAAGGGGTCTGCAGTGAAAAAAATTCTTCATCTCTGATTGGATAACATTTTAAACGTTTAAATTATTCTTTCTACATTACTAAGCTAATTAATCTGAGCTAAAAAGGTGTTGTATGAATGTGCAGTCACCATAGTAAAGAAAACACCAGACACACCCAATGATGGAAAATGAACGATTCTTTTAAACACAATAACTAACCAGGTTTTAACGTTAGAACAATGGAATTGATTTTTTTTAATTTTAATATTTTTAATTCGGATCTGAAAGTCCGACAAATAAAAATTTTGCAGTGTTTTTTAAGTGGTTATTCAGTGTACTTGGCCACCTTAAACTAAGAAAAACAAAATACACCACATTCCGCACATTTGTACATTCCCTCTGAGAGAAAATTGTTTCTTTGACTGCATATTTTACAGAAAATAAAAGTTACAACGGAATCTAAACTTGGCCCATGCAATAAAAGAAATTTTGGGGAATTAATTTTATTCAATGATCGTAAAGGAAAGAACACTTTATTGGTCTGCAGTAAAGATGAAGGGAAATTTGGATGGAGTACGACAATCGATGGTAAAACGAATTTTATTCTTTAACATTTCAGGAGAGACAAAGTTGATCCGTGTATCTTTTAGTATGGAAGTACGCGTTTGGGAAGATACCCTAGGCCAAAGTTACATGAAACACGAAAAGTCTGAAATTCACTGGATTTTTTTTTTTGAAAATCCAAAGTATGCAAATTTGCTTTACCCATACTGTCACTTACAACGCATATCTCTAGAAACCAAGCTATTTCTATATTACGGATTTTGCAAAAAATCGTTTCGTATTCGGAGGCGATAGTGCATGTATCATTTGCATCACGCGTTTCATAATCTAACTACAGCTATTCCTTTAATTTAACTTTACCTTAGATGGTCACACTGGAGAAATATCTAATCCAGGATACGATTGCATGTCGATATTGCATGCTAATTCTGAAGCCAAAGATGGATTTTACTGGATAACACTGAACAACAGAAAACCAAAGAAGGTATCTCAAATATCCAGTTGTGGCTACAGTACTGCCCAGAAATACAAAAACCTCTGTTAACCTTGGTCAAATCTCGGTCTAATCGCGGTTGAACCAGGTCAGACCGAGTTTGAACCGCAGTGAGACGGAGGTTAAACCTCGGCCTTACTCGGTCTGACAGACATTTCTTAAGATTTTTTTTCGATTTGGTTATTGCGCAGTCCTCCTCAGCAGAACATTTCGTTGTGAAAACAGGCTAACACAGCCGGAATTGGGGAAGTTTGCTTCGGTAGGAAACAATAACCTCGGCTGAAAAATATAAATTCAGATATCCTGCTTTGCCCCATCGAATAGGTCGCGTTTTTGACCTCGGTGACCCAGTAATGCATTGCGCACTTGTAACGAAATCTAAGCTACCTTTTAGAAGCAATAGGAAGGATGCAAAATATATATTATTCACCGAACACATTACCACGGTGCAACGTTTCCATTATTGCTTGGCGCGATGTTTACTTTTAAATTCCTATATGAAAGCAAGATTTATCATCGATGTTTTGGCAGTCTTAGACGCCGTGCAAATGATACTCAAATACCTGAGTATGTGTCAAATATCGACTGACATTACGAACAATACGAATCAATACTATAAATATAATACAACACGTTTTTTGAAGGCTTTCGTCGGAACTATAGAACACTGCACTCTACAGACGATATATACAAGCGTTGATACATACAATAGTAATATATGTCACGCCGTGGGGATTGCTATTGGCGTTGTAACAACGTACGGCATTTTTCAATTGTGATAATAATGTAAATATAGGCCTACTATTTTTCGATTATTTGGCGTTTAAAATAATTGCGTGATAATTTTTGTCGTGTAAGACCTGAAAAAGCCTAAAACGATTTTCTTGAAAGTTTTATTCTGTGAATATTTATTTGCTTTTCGCTCAATAGTCAAATTTCATTTTTAAATTTTTGCCATAATATTATCAAAGTGACAATTTAATTTGACATCCTTGGCAAGCAATGCACAAACAGCACTCCTTTCTGTTGCTGTATCGGAAGCACAACACTAATATTTTGCAATATATAGGTGCATTTCACTCCATCCTCAATGTTCATACACTTGACATCACTTCAATATTAATTATTTTAGTAAAACTTAAAGTCAGCCACTTCGCTTTGTTATGGAATCTCTTATTCAAATTGCACCAATCCAAGAATTTAATAGAATATCAATGTCACAAGAAATGTCTACTAAATACCCTACCAACTGTAAATTAACATAAATATAGTATCCTCCCAGGCCCAGGGTAACCTCAAAGCCTTAATTTACGCTATATATAGGTTTTGAGTAAGTGAAATTGTGAAAATTTCCAACTTCGCAAAGCAAATTATTTTGTTGCTTCTTCAAAAGGCTTGGTGTGACATGAAAACTGATGGTGGAGGATATATTCTTATCGGTAGAACAAATAGTTGCGGCATATGGGCAGTCCCATCTAATGACGATGCAGTTGAACCATTTGGCAAACCCCACTGGTGTAGCGCGCTGGGAAACACTGATGTTATTGATTTCAGAGTTCAGATGGCTTCTGAAGAGGATTTTCAAAAGACGAAGGCGCATTGGTAAAAACTTCGCCACAATACTACCGAGAGATTATCTGATCTTCAATGCATCATGGGATTCTAATGCACTGACCACACGACATGCGGGAAGAATTCCAAAACGCAAGGATATTCTTACGGTCGCACCGTAAAAGAATTTTTTTAACACGACATTCAACATTTCCCGTTTTTCTTTTCACTTAGTATGCTAGATAACTACCTTTAGAAAGAACTTGACGGGGTCTTAGATTACCGTCCAAACGTATCCGACATTTTCGCTCACTGAAAACGGAAGAATCTCGCTCTCGTGCAGAGTGGAATAATTGTAAAGGCCGACACAGACCGGACGCGATGCGGCAACGCGACGCGAATTTTGAGTTTTCAGAAGCATATAAACTAAATTCTGGAAGTAAAATTTGGAAACTATGGACGCTAAAGCAGTCAAAATGTTTTATTGTTATGTAATCTACAAGAATATTATGATAGTTTAAAATTTACTTGATTTTGAAAAATTAAAAACGTTGAAAATTCGCGCTGCGTTGCCAATTCGCGTCCGGTCTGTGTCGACCTTAAAACTCGGCTGAGCGGATACGTGTGGACAGCATTGCCGGATAAGTTTGAAAACGATACCGCAACGTATCAAATCGTTTTCATTTGATCTTAATGAGGCCTGTTTCAAGTCTTGTTGCTTATACTCAATTAATATTACTATATTAGCGTCAAATGAGTCTTTTTATAGGTTATTATTTTCATGGTGAATAGAGTATTCGGTAATCCTTTTAGGACTTTTCAAAGAAGTATTTTTCGCCAGAAACAATACTGTCCAAAACGTGTCGGTATTTAATAACACGACATTTCCCATTTTTCTTTTCACTAAGTATATTCAAAAACTACATTTGAAAGGAGTTGACGGGGCCTTAGATTAATAGCTTTAACAGTGGAATTAATTGTTAATTTTATATATTTACAGGGCTTACAGATTCAAAACTCCGCGCAAGTTAAAGAATCTCATGATAAACAAAAGAGGTTGTTCAAGCCATTCCCCGGGCATTGGAAATGTGAAATATGTGAAAAACTTAGAAACTGGACATACAGTTACCACTCAATTTCGATGTTCAAAATTTGGTATTGGTTATCATCCTTATACAAATATTGGATGGGTACGTATATGCATTTGACAATTTCCTTGACCAAAAAATATTACTTGGAATCCTTTTCACTACATCATTTTTGCTATGATCGGTAAATAATGTATATTTTCTGAAAAAACCTGACGTTTTATTTATTTTTACTAATTTCTTTCAACAAGCGACTGCCATATATGACTTTTAGACAATGATGAATTCATGTCTTGAAAAACCATGTCCGTATGGATTTGCATTTAACCGGAGATATCCCATTCAGCAAGACTATTCAGGATCGTTCAGGTACATCAATTTGTACTTTATTATATTACATTTTATAAACTATAGACTTGGGCGTTTCTTGAATAAATTAAAGCCAAAAAAGTTTTTGTCATACATTAAAACATATGTACTAAATTATAATATAATTATAATTTTCATTTTTTAGTTATAGTGCAACAAAGAGCATTTCCGGAATTGAATACGCAGCAACGGCCCAAGTTGGCTGTAGCCGAGGACATGTTAGTATTCTATTGCTTTCCAGCGCTTGACATAGTAAAATTAGGTAAAGAAAATGCGCATAATTTATGATATTAAATTGTGGTTAAAAGTATACATTCGCTGCAGTGTCCTTCTTCTTTCATGATTCGAGAATAATTTAAAGTTCTGTAACGTACCATCAGCCAAAATATGGTTGTTTTAAAAAAATATCTTCTCTTTCATCTATGCTCTCATACAAATGTTGGGCGTGGACGAAGCTTTTTGCAGTAAATTTGCTTAATTCTGCTATTATTATGCTTAATTATGCTTAGTTATGATCATTGCAATGGTTTTGTGCAACTCTGCATGCGATTGCCTTTAAATTTCTTTTAAGTACAATTCTATTAATACCTATGTTGCCTTTAACGTTTGCCCCAGCCTTTTCATTTGCGCATTGTCAATTTTTAGTATTAAACTAAGATAGTATTTCATTATTATTTCAATATTATTTCAAGTCCATTGCGATCAAATTATCGATCTTTATGTTAGCATAATTTACAAATTCAGATCTCATCTATCAGTTGGGAACTTGTCTTAGAAACGTGGTCAGTTTATAAACCCATGCTAATTTAATAACACCTAAGCAAAATTATGATGATCGATTGCTCTCGCATAAGTCTACATATTTATATATGTACTGTTAATTTTGTCCCGTATAGTGTTGTGGCTGTCACGGACCTTCAAGAGGTAAACGGAACTATTGTTTTGAAAAATGCAAAGCTCAAAATGGTGGAACTATTGAATCACAGGTCTACTCTTGGTTTTGGGTGAGGACATCTTTCCCAAAGAAATTTTGGACCAAATGTATTGATTACAAAATGAAGGAAAACGGCATTTTTGTGTGGTATAAGCTAATTGGAAACAGTGAAGCACCGATCGAGGTTTGTTGGAAGATCTTCGACAATTAAACTTTCACATCAGAAAGGGCAATAAATGAAAATTTGTCATGAAACCATGTAGTTACTTTCACCAGATATATTAATGATTTTTAACAGGGTCGGTGCGATAGAACAGGAAAAGCACTCTTGTACGGTGGGGTAAGAATCATATTACCTTTTAACCATGGCGTTTACTATTTATTTTGCACTATGCGAATCCGCATACTTTCGTGTTGGAGAACTTGCTTGTTACCATTGAAGCAATGGCATTACCAAAGCCGTTTATAAAAATGCCATATTAATAATCCTATTATTCTATTTTCCAGGCAAATTTGACGAAAAGTAATTACATACTTTATATTATTATTATTATGTGGCTTTTTAAAATCCTCTATTGTGATTGGTTGACGAGCGGTCCGTAAAACCCATATCGGGACCGTGGTCCATATAATTATTCCGTACCTGCACCAGTTTTAATTTCCGGATGTCTCCCGAAGTTCAGTCATATAATGAACCGATTATTAACCTCGGTTGTTCGATCTGTACTCTGAAATATCACACCAAGTTTTTTTCATGGACCGAGTAATTTTATTCTCACATTATTCCATTTTTTATCATTCGTCTTAGATGTTGGTTGTTCCAGATAATACGACGGCAGAAAAAACTCCTTTAATCGATGGTATGATTGTGTATCGTCAGGACACGGAGAAAGTTTATGTAACAAAACATGAGAAACTACACCCTTTAGCAGAAGAAGAAAAGGCAAGTTTCATTATTAGGAAGCTTTGTAATAAATTACCCTTTCCAAGAGGGAATAATTAAAGAGTAAAAGACATGCCCATATATTAAATTATTAACAATTAGAATAGAAAGTAATACTAATAATAATGTAATTTCTTTAATAGCCTGTTTCACAAGTTCAATTAAGGATAAACAGCGCTTTAAAATTATGAATTAAGCCAATTATGAATAAAGAGGAAGAACACTCATAGTTTCTTTTTTCCCAACATATCGTTTTAAATTTATTTACAACAACAGTGCGATTATCCCCGAGCAGGTGCGGAGCACCGTGCGAGCTAGGGTGCTAATTCCTCTCGGATATTTACACCCAGGATGTTCAAAGGCGAAATCAAAGTTGTCCGCCATAATGCAATGGACCTCACGCCATGGACGGTCTTCTAAGTTATGCGTATGCGCCAGTGTACTAAGCTCTTGATTGGTCGAGACAAATATTTGTATTTTTAAACCTTCATAACTGTCATTTCGCAAAATTTTGAAGAAACTTACAAATACATTTTCATATTATTTATATTTTCATAAATATGGAATAAATATATATTTTTTAATTACATCAGAGGGAAACTCGAATCAGTCGAATGTGGTGAGGACTTTTTACGGTGTAACGAAAAAAATAAGACTAAATTTTCGACCATATTCACCGTGTATAATGAAGTCGGAAGATTTTACACTTGAAAATAAGACCCGGCACAGGTATAAAAAGTCATTCTTTTGTGGTAAACACAACTTTTGTATTCTCAAACGTAAATCAATATACAAATATGAATGTGTAATGTGATAGACGACATTATAATTTCATTTAAAAACTCCATTTTTTCAAAATATTCGCGTGCAAAAACCAGTCGAGGCGTAAACATAAAACTTCGGAAGTAGTATGAGACGTCTGATGCTATATTTCATGGTAATAAATAATTAAAATAATTTACCATAACAGTGACTATAGATGAGTAACTTAACTTCCAGAAAATGGTTAGAATCTTGTCGTATTTTTGCCCTTTTTTTCACAAAAATACGAGGGTAAACTTTGATTCTTTGAAAACATACGGCCGTTGCGATGTTGGTTGCGAGTTGCTATGACTACAGTGCTTCCGCTTCCAGAAAATACTTCCATTCTTCTCTTCTCAAATACCACCAATACCAAGTACCCTCCAAACACCCAACCTACTCAAAATTTTCGAACTATCATGTCACCATCTCTATGCTTCACTCATTTCGCTTAACCGAGGCGAGGGGTTGCTGCATGCATGTATTTCTAGTATAAGATTTCTAGAACACTTCAAAGTGTCTTCGCAGGGAAATTCGCGCCAGCTCGATGCATACGAGGACTTGTATTATTAAAAAATCAAAAAGTTAAATTTTCTTTTATTTGCCAAACCTTGAATCAGTCCCGCATATGTAACGTCGTTGATGCCGCATTTGACTGGTTTCTTAAAGCCTGTACCTTGTAATATATTCCTATATAACCAACAGTGTATTCTGTAGGTATTAATATTACATTCCATTTATAATATGATATATATTAATATCTTTATGCGCAGGTACTTGAGACAAAAGAGGAGCTTAACAAATCTCTTGAGAAAAATGACAAAATACTCAGGAAATTTGGTATGACTAATTCATTATAATTCCACCGAAATGCATTTTTCCTCATTTTCTCGCGAATTACCCGCACCCGACATTTTATACTTGTGCATGGGCCAAGAGCTCTTGTGCAAAGAAAAGGAGTCGAAAAAGAACATTAAAGATTGTTGTACTGTGCACTGTTTAATAATCAGGCTGGACAAAAAGTACACAATTTTCAATGTCGCATACGAGTTGTTATATATATATATATATATATATATATATATATATATATATATATATATATATATATATATATATATATATATATATACTGTCGTTGTCAAAAAGGTTGTCCTGAGCAAGTATATGTATATATCGATCACGTGACATTATTATGCATCAACACGCGTGGGATTGTACAAGCGTGTTAATTGCGAGTTCGAGTATAGCAAGGTGAACGATTAGAAAATGCCAAGACCATATTCGGATGATTTAACGTGGAGAATGGTTTATCAACGACTGTTCTACGAAAGAATCATCGACGAAATTGCAGCACAGCTATTTATTTGTTCAAAAACCGTCTATCGTACTCTCAGCACCTTTTGGAACACGGGTGATGTGAAGCCTTGCCGTATGGGTCGCCCAACAGCGAGCGTATCTTTATTCCCACACGAAGAATATATTATCATGAACTGTTTACTGCGAACGCCGCAAATATAGTTGAATGAGATAGCAAGCTATATGTAAACCTCTTCAATAGGATTTAAATCAGGACTGTCGTACACTCGTTCTACAACTTCTTGTACATGATGGGTTGGGTGGTTATCTGTTTACAAATATGCATATATTACTAGTTTTAGCAGTTGCATCTTTGTGCATCAACAAGTTTTGTTTAAACAGATATTAATAGATCAAAACATGATCACAAATTCAGTCATCCCTTGAGACATATGTTAGAACAGCGAATTTGCATTAATTATATTCAAATCTCAACCATAACGAGAACGGATCGCGGGTTTTCCCCATCAAATCGATTCATAGCTGGTAAAAGCTGTTCATCAAGAAAATGGATAAAGGAGCGTGTTTCAAATCTTTCTTCAGGATTCTTTAACAGTTCGCAAGAAGTCCATCACACGATACTGCCGAAATAATGGAATAGCGAGGTGTCCACCGTGCATAGCTATAGTCGCTCACAACAGGCGGTATCCCACGAGCACTATATCCATATTGCCGAGCAAGTCGTTTATCTTTAAAACGTAGAACCAAATAAATAAAGATCTACTAGTTTGTGCAATCCAGTTACAGTAAGGTATTATTTAGTACATACAATGCCTGTTTCATCGAGGAAAACGAGCAGGTTTGGGTCAAAAAGACTGATTTCGGCCATGAATTGTAGCCCAATATCGTTTCTTCGCTGAAGGGCAATTCTCTGTATCTGAAGAAGAAAATGTGGCTTGAAGAGTTGATAAAGAACAACTAGAATCTTGTAATAAATTGGAAAAAGGTGGAATGGCTTGCGTCTTATTAATATAGTTATATGATTTCCAGTATGCGGTATTAAGTATATATTCCAACTAAAATAAGGTCATAATGTTCGTACCTTTTTGCGTGTTATTCCAAGCCTATAGAGAGCTCGGCACAGTGTCTCCGGGCCAAATGCAGAGCCAGTAGCATTAATGATATAGCTTGCTATCTCATTCAACTGTATTTGCGGCGTTCGCAATAAACAGTCCATGATAATATATTCTTCGTGTGGGAATAAAGATACCCTCGCTGTTGGGCGACCCATACGGCAAGGCTTCACATCACCCGTGTTCCAAAAGGTGCTGAGAGTACGATAGACGGTTTTTGAACAAACAAATAGCTGTGCTGCAATTTCGTCGATGATTCTTTCGTAGAACAGTCGTTGATAAACCATTCTCCACCTTAAATCATCCGAATATGGTCTTGGCATTTTTTAATCGTTCACCTTGCTATACTCGAACTCGCAATTAACACGCTTGTACAATTATATATACACCCATTTGCAAAAACGTTGGCCGCAGATAGATAGATAGATAGATAGTCGAAGTCTAATTAGAATTGCATATGATTACATTTGCATTGGATTTCAATCATATTAGATTTCGACTATCTATCTATCTATCTATCTATCTATATGCGGCCAACGTTTTTGCAAATGGGTGTATATATGTGTATATATATATATATATATATATATATATATATATATATATATATATATATATATATATAAATTTACTGAGATAGTATGAGGAGCTACAAGCAGGACATCATATCACTATTGCTTACCATCAATATATATATATATATATTAATATATATATATATATATATATATATATATATATATATATATATATATATATACCACAAATAATGTTATATAACACAAATAATGTTAAACTGCCAAAATCTTTCCAAGAGAGAGCGAGGTAAAACGGCTCTTACTGTCAGTCATTCAAACCAATTAGTGTACATTATGTATTTCATAATTTCAGAATCACTATGGAAATCGTTAAACAAAAGTATCGTGGAAACAAAGACGCAGTTGGCTGAGGTCAAATCTATATTAAAAGAAAGCTGCATTATGCCGTGTGTATTATACTGTATGTTTCATGCAAATGTACTGGAAACTCGCAGTACAGTAGATGATTCACAAACTAAATGCTGAACTACATACAATGTTCAGGTTTATTTGTTAAAAATATTGGAAAGATTCGTTCGGAATTATTGGGTGAGAAAAGTTTATATGATTTTTAGAATTTGAAAAATTTTATATAAATTTTTAAAGAAATTTGCAAGATAAAGCCTTGCCTCTTTCTGAAGTGTTGTAACTTTCTTTCGGACGCAATGATTAATACAACAACATCCACTTTTTGTACAGTTGATCATATGAGCTACCTTTTAAAATTGATAATATTAACAATATTTTTTTCCATTCCTCAATCTTCTCCGATTCCGCGTTTCCCCGTTGCAATCTTTGAAGTAGAGCCGTTTACTAATGAAGCCATCCCAGAAAAATCTTAGGAAAACGTCACAACACGTAAAACTACAATAACCTATAATAAAACATCATTATTCATTATAATACTGTGTAAGACAATAATATCGGCAATATTTTAGATTACCATGAAATTAACGCAAAAATAATTTTTGTAATTTCTTATGCTTTTTATACATTTTAAATGTGAAATTCATTCAAAGGTTGGTGGATACAGCAATCCTGGAAAATCCTGTTTGGACATTCTTCAGCGGACAAAAACAGTATCATTGGGAAATGGAGAATACTGGATTAATTTGGACAATAAACTACTAAAAGTATACTGTGACATGAAAGCTGATGGAGGTATCCTGTGACGTTGCAATTATTATTCAGCAATACAATAAATTGCTCGAATTACTCTTTTCACATTAGAAAGCTGAAAAATTTGATTTGGCAGTATATATTTTTGCAAAACAATACCTAGGAAATAATTATAATTCCGATTCCTATAGGTTTTCCTATAGGAATTTGAATGTGAATAAATTTTCCTATAGGATATTTACATTCCTGTAGGAATTCTTATAGGATCCTATCAAGAGTTTTCATAAGGGACAGTCGAATTAGCCTTTCTCACGATGACGTTTTTAGGGTACTCTCAATTTTCTCAAACGGGTTTAAAAATTTATAAAAACATGAAAAGAGTTTTTTTTAGAATCAACAAACCATTTTAGGAATAAATTTAGTCTAACATTAAAGTAAGTCGCCGTTACCAGATCTTGCGCTTACGGTTTTGTAAAAAAGTGCTCCCAAAATGGCGGCATATTCGTCATCGGGAGACGGGTTAATTGAATGAAGGTGAAATGTTTGCTGATATGTCGATATTACTGAAATATATCATCCTAGATCAAACCAGGAGTCGCTGATTGCGAATCCTCTCTTAGTCAATGCTTGTGCAGGGATAAAAGCTTCATTCGTTTATAGGTGGCTGGACATTGGTTACTAACCTCGTTCTAAAGAATTCGAGAGGAATGGATTGGTCTCTACAGAATGATTATCGTCAAATTAGTGAATACGAAAACCAAAAGCTTGCTCTTTCAACATATGCTCTTCGTGACTTGGGATCGAAAATGTCGTTCAATCAACTCAGATTTTTTTGTCGAAAAAAGATTCCAGGACGAATCTTTGATATCGCCACTAATAAATCCAACAGTCTTGGTCAAGAAGTTATTAAGTATTTTACCGCTCAGACAAACACCTTTCCTAAGAGCTGTGGATCGTATTATCGTTTACCTGATGACAATTCAACTCTAGCCAGTCAGTGTTCCCGATGGGGTTATTATCAATCAAAGTATTTTGTTGGTCTATGGCATCATGCTGGTGGGACCATCAAAAATCGCTTATTTAATCACGCGGCATTTATTGGAGGTAAAGTTCATTGGCTAGTTCAGCAAGCAAATGGCCGTTGGGAATGCGATGATTTCATATCATCCTCAGGATACGCAAAATCACCAAACGATTTTTGGAAAATTTTCGTTCGTTAATTGTTGGTTTATCGTGCTATTTATAGAACGACGTAAAACACAATACCCTCTGTAGCTTAGCAATTAATGTTACTCAAAAATATATAACGGTAGTATTCTGGTTTTGCATTTATTTTGAAAAATCTCGTTCTCGTTTGAAAATTTGAAATAACTAAAATCCGAAGTATATAGTATTTAGATGATAAATACTATATAAGCGCTGTAGTTGAAAAGTTGTCACTTGTACTGTTGGTGAATAAATAATAATAATAATAACCGCTTATAGCCGCGTATGTATTGTTTTGACACATCTGCACCCGCTTCTCGGCTCTCATTGGAACTTGTTTTCTGGGTCTTAATTGGATGAATCATTGGCTGACGCGCGTCCCTCCTGGTAAGTCCTGTGTGGGGCATTTCGCTTTAACATCGCCCACACCACCGCATTTCCAACAAGTAATTTTGTCCTTGGACTTACACCCTGGCTTTTATTAATTACGGCTATTCCCATCCTCAGATTTGGCGCGCTCGGTTATTACATTGACGGCCTTATGAACATCTCGGAAACGCCATTGAAATATCATTATTTCAACATTATTTCAAATCAGGATCTCCTTGCCACTTAAACTTGTCACTATTTTCAGCGATTAGCGAATTTACTATCTTGGCAGTTATTACAATATTGGTTGCCATAACTGGCAGGAATATGATTCTCAATTAGTTTGATTCGGAGCTCCAAAACACACGTTTGTATGGGTGCTCAGCCTGCGTCTTCTGAGGTACGGCCTACGGCAATTCCTCGAAAGGGAACGAATAAACCGTTCTTTTGATGCTGTTCAATTAAGTTTAAATTTAATTGGGGTCAGAATATATTTTATACATGTAGATTCTGGTCCTATTTTAATAATATCGCTGCTGCTATTTTGCCGTTTAACAAGATTTGGTCGTTTATGGACGCGTTGACACGATTGAAGAATACGGTCAAACACTGCCTCGTCCCATGGGCCTAGCTCCGTTGCTCTCCACAAAGGCCTTGGGATACGCTGTTGATTTCTGTCGGAATTTAAACAAAGAGGCTTGGTCGCATAGAATAGAATCAGGCTAAAATATTAAGAAAACATGGCAAGCGAAAGAATGCAAATGCATGTATTGATGAAACCTTGCTTCAAGAAGCTATAAATTTTTCACTAACCAAGACTAATAATTCTAACATAGCATTAAAAAAGGAACAAAAAGGCGCTATTCGTCATATGGTCGATAAAATCGAGAAGTGCCCTGCAAAATCCAAAACACACTATCAAGGTCTGTGATTCCCTTCGATGATTATAGCCTAACAGTATACTATACTTGGCGTGCATACTGCTACAGTCCCCAATCAAATCCATTCATGTACATGATTTTTTTTTCATTGATTGCATTATTAAAACAGCGTTTGTGTAAGAGTACTAAGAGAACCTGTCTAACAAAAAAACTGTGTTGGTTATGGTATTGCCTTTAAATATGGTTAAATAAAGAAAATGACACTAGTGAATGAGCCAAAGTGATATCAGAGCTGAAACAGGTCAATTGAAACATGATCAGCCAATAACCCATCTCAATAAAAATCACCAGTAATTGACTTCCACTGATTAATTTTTTGATTTTCTTTTTTATTTTTGATTTTCTACTTTTGATTTTTTATTTCAGGTGTAAGTGTATAGCATGGAGAAATAGCTGTTTTACATACTTTCCTTTAACCAGTATATACCATCCATATTATTACCTGAAATTGCGGCAAAGGATCTTGAAACTCCTATTATTTATTGTAACTAATTAGGTTAATTCATGAAACACAAGTTAATGCCCAATGGTTGGTATCACAAACAAATTCAAATTAACAAGCTTTACAGGTCTGCAGCAAGGTTGTTCTCACAACTTGTCATCCTCATGCAATTCAACAACTTGTTAACATGTTTCCTGAAGCGACTTGACAAATTAAATCTGTTGTCTTTCTGGAAAGTTGCGATTTTAGGGTTTGAATGATGCATTATTTTGACTTCAATTAATGTACGATAGTTATTAGTATAAATAGAACGTGTTCCAAAGAATTTTGAACATTTCCAAACTTTTAATTTTCCACAGATATTGACGAAATTAACAAAATTCTGCGGATTTTTAATTTCTTTTTGAAAAAATAGCTTTTTGCTCGTACAAGTCCTCAGTCCGCAAAATAAAAGATTTTTGTCTTAGATTAATAATGATTCCAATTTCGGAAACCCTTTTAAGGGTTTAAAAATCTCAATGTGAGAGACATATGTTACGAAATGCGCATATATAATGTTTTAGCATTGTTAAGAAATAGAAGGTCAATATCGACGAGGAATTTACTTGGGGAACATGTCACATAAAATGACGTGTAAAGAAAATAATATTATGACCCTTCGGAATCACAAAATTACTTTTCCTATCATGAGGTGACAGCCCATGGGGTTTCCTCCGAAACAATAGTATGTCGTACAAAGTCCAAGTGTCACAACTCAAAAAAATAAGTTCTAGGCGGATACTAGTTTGTGTCAATAATTTCTTTGTTACTTTTTGCTCGGTTAAGTACTTGAAGCCTTACGTCACTAAAAGCTTAATTCGATGAAATTATTAGTAAAATAGTTTAGAAGCAGTGATCACCCCTAAAAGCTACCATTCCGAATCATATGAACAATTTAGAATGACTGTATCTTTGATAATTCATGATATAGAGCTATGTCGACTGTGCCGTTTCTGGGTGTGGTCATTTTCAGGACTTTCGTCCCGGATTCAGATTTTGGCACATATGCTATGTCGACCGCTATGGTCATTTTACCATAAAACAATTCAGATAATCTGTCCGAAGTTAAATGAAATGCACACAAACTCCTTTACAGGTCCTAGACTGCTAAGTCTTGTTTTATATAATATGTAGACTAATTTTTAACCAACGGACCAACGGGCTATAAATTCATGAATTTGTTGATTCTTTCTGGCGTTTGCCTTGCAGAACAACATTATACTTAATTATTTTACTCTATATTTTTGCCGAATTGGTGTCACGCCAAGAACGATATCTCAAAACCTATTGCGCCAAATCATCTAAAATTCTCAGTGAAACTTTGTATGTAATATATCTATATTTGGTACAAGAATGGTAGAGATTGCTCATGTAGATCACAAACTATGGGGTTTTGTATCACTCGGAAATGACCGAAAAATTGATTGATTAAAGTAATTTAGCAAAAATATAGTAAAATTTAAAATTTAACAACCATTCTAGTACCAAACGTAGATCATGTGCATTAGTAACTTACTTCACTGTTTTTATGATTCTGTCTTGATTGCTTGTCTTACAATACTTCTTAGCGTAACTGCCATTTTTCGCTTTTAGGGGTAATTATCTTGATTCTATGGCAACTACCAGATTCAAGTCTGTGCCATTTGTCATCAATTAGTGAGAACAATAGTTCTGGGCTAAAAAATTGCAAGAAAAGCTGTTTTTGAAAAAAAAAGTTTCATGTTGTGGAGTACCACCTTAAGTTACTATAGTCTGGAGGATACGTTTGACACACATTCACACACCATAATCAGTACCCTTCTGCTAACACCGTTTCGCCTCTATTTATAAAATATTATGAGTCTTATAAAATCCTTTCCGTAAGTGGAAAACAGCCTTTAGTTCAGAAATCCCCGCAGGTGTCACGGCTTGTTACATCATTATGCACAAGGTCTGTTGCTGCTCCAAAATATTGCCAATATAAACAATAACATAATTTCATTTATTATTCTTTTTGCAACATACATAGGGAGCAACCGTAAATAATGTCTGTTAATATATAGTCCCTTTCAATCATCAATATTTCTGGCAGTTTTTCATTAAATACGACTACATGGTTTAGGTGTAGAGGAGAGGATTCATTCTCCCCTGACAATATCCGGACTTAAAAACTATATAAATCTCCAAGTGAAAAAGACGTCAATTACAGAATAATTATGCTGCTTCAAACTGTGATATGTAAATTTGCGTGAAAACGATGCCCGCTAAGGATGACGGTAGGAGGCTGTATGTTGTCTTCAAACGGAATTGTTGTAGCCATATGAACGGGCGATCTTTTTCCGAGAGAGAAAAAGCAGATATTTGACAACATTCATTTTTTCATTGATCAAGACAATTTTGTAAGAAAAATTACAAGGATAATCAGCAGGTTAGTCGCGAAGAATTTTGTTGAAAAGACGTCAGTTTGTGAATACGTTTCCATTACTGAATTCTACGCGAAAACTTCGCAGAGACTAAAAGAGGTGAGTTGGCTTCCCCCCACGGGCTGCTTTTCCAAAAATATAAGCTCAATTGGGGAACTTAAGGTTGTGTGAAATATCACGTTAAATTTTGATATTTGTGTAAATAAACTATGTTAGCCAAAATATTGTTCGAATAGCTATTTGGAAGACTTGTAGTTTGGTAAAATGTTTTCATTTTTTTACCGCGAATGTAGTTATTTGAATTTAAACGAGTTGAATACAGTAAGAAGAAAATATACGTGTTAATAAGCAACAAAGTAAGAGTACTGATTCCGAGTGATTGAAAATTATATTTACTCAGGATGAATAAATATTTTCCCAATAAACCGTTCTTATTGAATAAAGTTATCGAAATGAAAAGGTTTTATTACTTAGAGGATGACTTACTTATGGAGGTATTACTTTTCAAACTCGGGACATAATTTCGGGGTATGCCTAAAGTATGCAAAATTCGCTGTATAAAGATATTAATTAAACTTTGCTCTACTGATCATGAAGCACGCACTAGTTTAACAGTAGACACTTAACAAACTATTGCAATATGTTATACTACTACAAATTCTGTCGAAAATTTATTCAAAAATAAGTTAGGCACATGTCCAATTATTTGTTTGACGCATGGAACGTTAAAGGTTATTACACGAGTTAAAGCGACAGTCTTTTAATTTGGATCTGTTTTTTTGCACCTGCAAGACTTATTCTCTAAAGCTTTTTTCCCTAATGTTAATGATTGTTACGGAACAGTCTTAATACAACAATGGGCCGGA